CAAAGAACACTATTCCACACAACCAGCTACAGCAGACTGATCTGGAAAGCAAACGTGTCAAACAAGCTTCCCACACATTTTGTAACCAGCTCTTTTCTGAAGCCAGAAAACTGTACTTCACATACTCCAAAGAGCGATCTGTTGACCAGCAGCCTCAGCACCCACTTGAGATCTTTTTTTAGGAATGCACAATCTCACCTGTTTTGTGAATTTGCTATATTATTCAAGAATATTAAGTTCTATTATGAAAGTCAAGGAAACAAATGAGCTGGATAAAACTCATAAGAAGTAGTGGTCACTGATAGTAAGTAAACTAATAGCTTATGAGGTAAAGGCAACATTCTGAGGCTCAATTAGATATACATAATAAGGGCTCATAAGCTTCTGAAATGAAGGCAAAGTTCTTAAGATGTGTTAAAAATAGGTAATTTAATAAGCTCTAAGATATTTTAAACTAGAAAATAAGCTGGAAGAAACAAGAGGTTCACTTGTTAAAAAAAAAAAAAGGATGGAAAGACTAAATCATCATCATACCATCTCTGGACTGACATATATACCATCTCCACATCAGCCACCCACCAAGGACGCCCCAGGCTGGTCTTATTCCAGACTCTGCAGGTGCTTTACCCAAGAAACACAGATACAACTCAGCAAAACTGGCAAAGCTACACTTGTATGTACGTATAATTGTACCCTCTCTCTTCGATACAACAAATATGTATCATCAGTCTAGGGTATTATTAGTATGTGGAGCCCTTGCTCAAAACTCAACTCCGGTCCTCATTACCACACCCTCAATCGTAAAGATGATGTGAAAGAGGGAGAGGGTCGGGACATATGAACATTGTGTCCCTGGGCCCAGGTGGTGTGGTCCTTCCAAGCTTTGCACCTTATGTGTGTTAACTTACCCCATGGCTTTCCTCTTGCTTCTGGCTGTGTGTTTTAAACTAATTTGATAAATACTGTGATTTGCACATTTAATTTGGTTGCTGAGCCTGTCTATTCCATAATCCCTGGGAAAGCTGGTAATGTACTTGGAGGCTAACTATCATATCAAGATGATTCCCCCAAAATACCTACGGAATCACAAGTCTTCATTTTAAAAGATTCCCAAGTGATTTATAAGCATATTCAAGTTTAATCTAAAGAAGCAGAATGTCAGAAATTTGGATCTCAGAATGATACTCTGAACACCATCTTGAATAAAAGGTCTCGTAGATGCCCTGTGTACCAACTCAGAGCCCCAAGAGAGAAAGAGAATGCTAAGGGACCCACTTTCAACAAGTATCATGTAAGATTTAGAGAAGCACTGCTGCCCTTGGTGATTCTCTTTTGAACCCCAGCTCTGTAAAGCCCCATACAGTTTGAGAAAACATTCAGAAGAGTACAGCACAATACATCTTAACGTTAACCCTATAATCTCTGTCTTGCTGGGAATTAGAATAATACCTTTTTTCATCTATGTTATGTTTCAAGAACACCTATCCAAAGGACATAAGGCTACCAGAAACCGAGAAAGGGTTATTACTGCCTTAAAAAGGTTGCAGTGACTTTAGAAAGATCATCCAAGAACATTTTAGCAGAATAGCCTGAGAAGCATTGTTAATGGGCTATCCACTCCCCACCTACAGTCGCTGACCTGATCAGCTCCAGTCATTTTATGTATTTATTACTTTTATTGTATATTGCATTGTCCTGACACATAGTAAGGGCTCAGTAAATGTTCTGAATTAATAGAAAACAATAATGAAAAATGTCACCCTTTCTATCTTGCATTTATTTAAGGCAAATGTAATTAATTCAATCTGTTGGTTTTGAGAAATTCCCGACAATGAAGGCATAATTCCACATTAGCATGGTTCATAACACTCTCTCATTCCCCATCTCAAACTTGAATCTTATGTTTTCCATTATTAATCAATCCCATTCTAATTTTCCACAACACTGTGAAACCCATCAGCCTATCCATTAAGAAATAATCCATTTCTAAATGTCACCAACAATTATGTATAAGCAATATGCTACACAGGAAAGATCAGCCATTATTTTAATACTCTTCTAGGTCCAGATTTAAGACATCTTAGAAAAGCATCTATTTAAAACATCTGTAGAAGAACTGAAAAACTGAGGACACGATCACACACACAGAGATCATAAACAAGATGTAAAACAAAAGTCTAAAAGTATCGAGAATATTTACTCTAGTTAAGAATAAGATGAGAATATCAGGAAAAGAATGTAAAAGTTCTAAAGGTCAGTTCTATAAAGAATATGTCACCTATTGTTGCTAAAAGAGGGAGTATGTTCAAATTTCAAAAGAAAAGATTTAGGTTGGAAATCATAATCTCCCATTCCATAAGTGAATCTTTACAAAAAGAATAAGGAAACATACATAAGGAATGGCTCAGTGTATTCCCTTTCAAATGGTCTATCAAATCCTTTTCACTCCATGCATTTAGTACAGCCAACGACAGTTACAGGCCTTATAGGACATTAAACATTTCAAGGCAGGTTTTCAGGCTGTGTTACATGGGTTTGAAATACCAAGTGTTTAAGAACTGACTCCACCAGCTCACATAGGAAAGAGGTAACATTATAGATTTGTGTGTCTTCCACACCTAACAGCATGAGAATAGACACATAATAAGAAGCCTTCAATAAATACATGTTGAATTTCATTATTATCACCCTCTGAGGCAAAAATCTTAAGTGAAGAATAATCTAAACACTACCATCACCACTACCAGGAGAAAAGTAGCTCTCAAAATTTCCAAGTGAATCCACTTACATGTTAAACAATGAGAACAACAAGAAAGAGTAATTGTCTTATTCATTACAAAGGGCTAAGAATGAATCTTCTGTTTGCAAACTTAATCCACTCCAACTAGTACTGTTAACTGCCCACTAAAACCCAGTGCATTATCTATGCTTCACTAACCTTATGCTTGATCTATGTTCTATATATATATATATATATATATATATATATATATATATATATAATCTATTTCATTCTATGTTATGTGAAGTACAGATTATATGAAAATTAAGAGGCAAAATGCTTTTTGTTATGAGACATAGTAGAAAAAATATCACTTGAATTTCAGAATATCATACCCAAAACCTGGCTTGTTCATATGGGAACAGCCACATTTCAATGAGAAATCCTTTAAAATGCATTAAACCTGTTCCTGTGCGTTACGTTTTGTGCAGCACTGGACCCAAATATAAGGCTGGTGCCCCATTTGGTTGAGTGGGTAGTGTTCTACCTGATAAATTTTCATAAGCTGCTATCCCCCATTTGGGAGTTAGTCACTGGTTTTAACAAACTCCTTGAAGAGTTCATTTCAGTTATTCCTGCCTTGCTCAGTGTGAAACAATTTAATCTTATTGCTTTCTTCCTAAGGGGCAGAAAGATGATGTTCGAAGGAAAGTACTTGGGAAGGGAACATGCATGGTGAAATTTAGGAGCTCCTGGAAAGGCCTGAGGGAAAGACACCTCTAAAGAGAGCGCCTAGAATTGGGGGTGGGGGGGGGGCGTAGGAGGAGAGGTGGAGGGGAGAGTTTCACAAAGGAAAGTGGGAAAGCACAGCAAAGAAACTTAGCTTACACAGAAACCACACTCACACCTCTAGTTATTTTAAACATAGTGTAACTTGGCATGGCCCATTCTGATCCAGAACTTTTGTCTTACGCTAATGAAATGAAAAGTTTGCCCCCTAACACCTATAAATAATTTCATAGATTATTACTTCATTTCAAAATAGTGTTTCATAATTAAAGCAAAATCAAATTTCTCTTTGCTTTGTAAATTATGTCTTACAGCCGTTATATGGAAGTTTTAAAAGATGGAAATAACAATAGACAGTGATTTCAGATTCTTTCAAAAGATAACCACATCCAATTACAAATCCATCATATATACACACTGGACAAGCGAGGAGTCCCTAGAAAGTGGTTTCAAGCTACACATTCTATCATCACAACCCTTCAGATTCCCCTAGGAGGGCACACCAGAATCTCAGGACGAAGGCTGGTGGATAAGTACACAGTGAAAAAGCACTCCAGGAGATTGTGACACTCAACCCATCACCTCCTGCCCCTCCTGCCATTATCAGCTAATAATGTCTCACCACCCGCTACTGATGTACATTGTGCTATTTCTTCTATACCAAATGTTAACTCAGTGAAGTCATTAGAATAGAGCATCTGAATTCAACTGGCATTTATCCAGCTTTTAAGAGGTAAAAACATATACATGAATGACAAATCAATTTAATTTCCTTTCACAAAATTTCATTTTGGGGCTACATTACAAATTCAGAACTCAAAGCTACTTACAGTCATAGCTTTCCAATTAAAGTATTTAAGTCCGCTAATATATTTCCACGAATCAAACTTTCACTACTAAGTAGCAGCACACACACACACACACCCAAAAAAAAAAAAAAAAGAATTATAATAAGTTTCAACATTCCTCACAATCCACTTACACTTAAGTAAGAGATAACTCAGATTTAAGCAAGTAAATGAAGACTGTTATTCCAAGGTCATCATAACTCTCTCATTGTACATTATGCCTCATATCCTAGAGGGTTCAGATTCAGAAAATTTTATTACTTATGGGCACTTTTAGGTAAAACTGGTTAAAGAGGTAATTCCATTTCAAACTAACACTCCTGGTTTTCAGTGTTCATATTATTCATACTCCAGTCCATTGGAATGTATCTCACAATCTCCAAACTTCTTCAACTTTACTATTAGTCAATACTGTTTTAAGCAAACAGAAAGCCTATCAGGAAATATGTGGACATCTCCCAAACTTTTAAAATCACCTGACATGTGCATATCAACAACCGGGAATTCCTTATAGTTGTCAAATCTATTCTACATACATTTAGGCCCAAATACTAAAAAAAAAAAAAAAAGAAAAAAGAAAAAGAAAAAAGAAAAGAAAAAAAAAAAACCACTTCAAAAACAAACTGAGAAAACATACTTACCTTAATCGGAGCACTACTAAACTTAATTTTCCTATTTGCTGGGATGTCTTCTTCTTCTGGCAATCCAACAATTTCCGAGTATTCCATATCAGGTTGATAGTAATTGTTTTCATCACTATCTTCCTGCTCATCCTGTTCAGTGCCTGTGTCTCCCCAGTCTGAATTATACCTGGATCTTACCCTATATACATTGTAGTCACTGTGCATGTAAACATGGGAACTCTCAAAGTGATCTGAATCTTCAGGTCCTTCTTTTCCACCATTGGATCCAGAAGCCTCAGCAGAGGTAAAATCACCACCTGCAAGTTCTTTCTTCTGATGCATTGCTGCCTCACTCCCAACTAAATTAGCCTCAGCGTCTCCTAAAGGTTCATTCTGTGGTGAAGGGATTTCAGACTCTGGCATTGCCTTATGTTCAGCACGAGGCTCTTCAGGAATGTCTCTGTCACCTCTGTCAGGAGTCTCTTGGTTAGATGTGGAGTCCTCGGCTTCCTTTCTCTGCTGTGTCTCTTCACTTGGCATCGAGGCTGGAGAGGTACTTTTCAGAGCCACTTCTGGGACTGGAGTTGTATGACTCTTCTGAGCATCCTCTGCATCATCACTGAGTTTGCTTGGAGGAGACCAAGAATTAGAATCCTTAAGGTGGCCAAAGGTATCAAGATTTGTAACCGTAACAGATGGTAGGTTCAGGGGATAATGTCCAGTCACTGAGTATTCACTGTTCTCAGCCTTCTCAGAAACGATGGCACTGGGGGAGTCGGTGTTCTCGAATACTGCACTCAGTTGACTCACAGTTGGGGAGACAGCCTCTGTCCGAGAGCTAAGGCTATCCAAGGAATCGGTACTGCCTCTGTTGGACTTCGAACCACCCCACTCATCCTGAGGTTCACTACCTCCAGCTTTCTCTTTCTTTGGGGAATAGCGGTTGTTTTGTCCTGATTCGTGCACACTTCTCTCAAACATCTTCCGAGTTTCTGTGAACTTAGAATAGGAAGGGCCATCGTACAACGTGTCAAATCTACTAATTCGTTCTGAAACAGAGGACTCCAACTTAACAACCGAGCCATCTGTTTTTTCCAGAAATTCTTTGGGCCTCATTCTTCTCTGTGGAGATGAAGGTCCACCTTTCCCCCTTGTTTTGGCAACGACTGCGGCATTTTCACTGGGTTCCATACCCATCTGCATAAATAGATTTTTGATTCTGTTGACATTGGAGCCATATTTCCTCCCCCTGCTCTGCTGGGAGCCCTCACCTTCTTTTGTTTTTTGCTCCCCATCTGACTTGGGTTTGTCAAAGGTACTTTTCAGGGCCTGGAACTCAGTTCTGTATGCATTCCTGTGAGGAGAGGCACTTCTGAGAGTGGTTCGTTCACCTGAAGACTCGGTTTTCAACATTTTTACTTCAGGGGTGAAAAGCCAATGTTCATAATGATCAGAAAAAACAAAAAACAAAAAACAAAAAAACAAAACACCTCTCTTCTCTAATCACCAGTATTTGATCAAGAAAAAGTACCTCTCAAATGGCATACTGTATCAGTGATCCTCCCAACAGGTGTATTAGGAAATTATTCAGTCAAGAGTTACACAAAATGGCTTTTTCAAAGCAAGACTAGAGGTTCATCTGTAATAGAAAAGAATGAATTTCTAAATTCATTTACTTATTTGAATTTAAGTTTAGTCAACTAATAATACACTTTTCAAAGTGGCTAAGCCATATGTCAAACAGAAAGAAAAAGAAATCACTTAATGAAATGGGAATTTAAAAGCCAAGAATTTAAAAGTTACACCTCTGATTGGTCTTTGGTAGCAAACATGTTTCAAACACAATGTGGAGATCCCTACAGAAATCACGCACTAACACAACACATAACTTTCATATAAGTACACTACGTTAGCCTAAGTTTCTGTTGCTTTTGTGAATGATCTTAAACCATCAGTTCATCAACCTGTTCGGAAAAAAAAAAATGGATTTCAACTTGGGATGCTCCACATCAGGTAGAATTTATTCTTTCTGCAGAAGCCCAATTAAAAGTTTGGAATCTGTTTCCAAAGTCCAGAATATGCTCACAGAGGCTTATTTCACTCTCTCTGGTCCAGCATTCTCATTTATAGCATCCCCAAAGCAACGTTAGTACATTTCAGACCAAAGCAAGCAGAAGAAAGTTCTCAAATGAAAATCAGTTTCACGCTAACTGGAGTTACATCTAATATTTGGAAGTTTCCTAAGTGTGGATGCCATCAATTATACAGTGAGATGCAGAACATCACGGGAATAAATGCAGGAGAACGTGATGATCAGAGAGCAACTATAACACGAAACCTCTTTTCAGAGTCCTGGTTTACTCCTACTCGCCTCTAACTTAGGACAGGCTCAAAATGCAACGCAATGCATGCTTGCTGGTCTCCACTAGCCCACGGCTGGATTTTGTATCAATTATGCCAGTAATCAAATCCTTCGAGATCTGCTGAGGCGCAGACAATGTAGTTCTAAAGATCTTTCATTTTGTTTTTGCTTTAGTTTCCTCTTTTGGTATTAGGCCGAGCCAGATCACCCTCATGCACAACCAGCTGAGGAAGCACACACTTTCCCTGAAACCGCCTCCAAACTCGGCTTCTGGCCCAGCACGCATGCATGGCCCATGCAGACAAACAAGAAAGGCTTGAGAGTGTGGTGCCTTTCTTTCTTTCTTTTTTTTTTTTTTCTTTCTTTTTCTTTTTTGGTAAAGCATCGACAATCTCCTTGTACCCTGACATTTGTTTTTAAGCCTTACACACCCTCCCCTCCCCCCTTCACAGACACCCCACTCCCTCCCCAGCCAATTCGAACCCGAGGGGGCGGGGGCGGGGGCGGGGGAGATGGGGCCGCCGGGGGGGGGGGGGGGGACTCGAAACCTGCCCTCACAAAAGACAAACATAAATAACACCAACTTGAGAGGCAGCCGGTTCCCAAGCCTGGTTCGGGACGCAATCCCGCGGCCCCGGGGCAGGGCCGGGAGAGCAGGTGACGCCAAGCGCTATGGCAGGAGGTCGCAGTCTAGCTTTGTGCCAGGAAGCACCTGAAGTCCCAACACATTGGCTGCGGCTCCCGGCGGCTGCCAGGCGGATCCCGGTGTGGCACGGGGAGAGCCGAGCTCCCTGGCCACATTCAAAAAATAAATAAATAAATAAATAAAAAAAGAAAGAAAGAAAGAAAGAAAAAGAAAAAAAAATTACAGGGTCCTGATAATAAATCCCTTTGTTTTCCCTCCCAGTGTGCCAGGAAACAATAGATCCCACTGATCATGCCTCCGATCCTCAACCTATCGCTCCCCACCACAGCCCACCCCCACCCCAGCCTGCAACTCAGCCTTTGTACCTCCCGATTTCCCCCTCTTCACCTCCACCCTCCCCGACTCGTCGCCCCGCGCACGGCCTCCCCCTTACCCGAGCGGGAGCCGCCGCCGGCGGGGAGGGTCGGGCGGCCGCGGCTCCCACCCCCGCCTCGGAGGCGCCCCCCGCCCCGCGGCGGCCGCGGCTCTCCCGGCGCCGGCCGGCTCGGCGCCCCCCCGCCCGCTCACGGCGCAGCGCCGAGGGCGGCTGCGGCGGCCGCTTCCACGCGCGCCGCGGCCCCCACGCGCGCCCAGCCCGCGGCGGGCGGCCCCGGGAGGCGCGCTGCGCTCCGCTACGCCACTGCGGGCGGCGGCCCGGGCCGCGACGCGCTCGCACCCTCGGAAGCGCCTGGCGCGGGGGTCCCGGCGCCCGCGGGGCTCGGCCCACGTGCGGGCGCCCGCGCCGGGCCGCCGGGGAGCCGGGGTGTCGTGGGGGAGAGGCCGCGGGGGCGAGGAAGGCCCAGGGTAACAGGTGCCTCACCTCGGCTGATGGGATTAACTCTAGGGCCGCAGAGAGAGGGAGCCCGGCAGCAAAATCCCGGGAGAGGGAGAGAGAGGGAGCCTCTGGCGGCCAACCGAGGGCGAAAAGCACCGGCCCGAGGCGAGGCCGCCCCACCCCCCGCGGCCGCGGGCGAGGGGCCTCCCGGGCCTGGGGCCGGGCCTGCCCTCCTGGGGCCCCGCCGCCTCCCTGCTCAGGGGGTCGGCTCGTTGGAGGCGGCGCTGTCGGCCTGGCTCGCCGCCCCCCCCCCCCCCCCGAGACTGCAGTGAACTTCATGACCCCGGGGCATCCAGAACCCCAGGCTGCCCTGCAGGCCCCGAAGGCCACCAGCTAGGCCGTGCCCCGCCTGACACCCACCTTGACCTTAAGCCTCCACTGTGAGAAGGAGGAGGAGGAGGAGGAGGAGGAGGAGGAGGGGGGCTTCTGACTTCCGCGTCAGGGTAGAGTTCTCCAGACCCCCCACCCCCACCCCCACCCTTCCCCCTCTTCACACTGCCCCGTCCCCCTTCCTCCCCACCCCCTCCCCAGAAAGGTACCGGGAGTGTTACAGCCCTGCGGCAAAATAGCCCACTCATCAGGACGGTCAACGTCGATCTTTAAGCCGATCCTCCCAAAGACTCCTCAGAGTACAAAGGACTAAAAGGATAATTTTTCAAGGAGGCAAAAAAAAAAAAAAAAAAAAAAAAAAGCCACAGAAATATGAAATGAAAAATGTGGCAGATATGTCCTTCGACTCATTAATTAGAGACGGAACCGCAAGATGTTAGAACCCCTGCAAACAAGGATGCGGGCGGAAAGCAGAACTTAGGGACAATCGGGAAAGAGGCAAGACTGGCTAAGATTGTATAAGGCATAAAAATGTAATGTTTTGGATTATCTGTTCTACGGGGAAGTAATAGTATTTCTAAAAAAAAGAAAACAAAGTAATTTTGCATTTCTGTAGATAAGAACATTTACATTACCCTAAGTTTCTACAGCCTATAAAATAGGAAAATGGCCTTGTCAAAGGTTCAGACTACTGTAGAACCAAAAAAAAAAAAAAAAAAAAAAAAGAGAGAGAGAGTCCTGTTGATAATATCCAGCCTTCCACTGAAAGGACACAGAGTGATATTTGTCCATCTCAAAGTCTTACACAAGTTTTCCCAACAGATCTATTATTACCTGCATTTACCAGATGGGAAAACTTGAGGTTTAGGTTTTGTAGCTTAACCAGAGCTTTATCAACTAGTAAATGATCATAGTTGGATATGAATTCCAGCAAGTCTGTATACAGAATCTGCACTCTGGGAGCAAAATCTCTTCTATTTTAATTTCAAAAGGCCTTTGTAGCTACTCAATTCTATGTATCTTTTAATTTTGAACAGTAAAATTTTTTCTTCAAGTCTCACCAAATTCTGGGTGCTTTCCCAAAAAATTGGCATTCTCTGTCTACAAAGTGGATGTCACTTCTATAAGCATAAACAGATGTAGCAGGCAATGTGAGGGGGCTGTGGTTCCAGTCTCCACTTTTGGAAAGAACATTTGTGCTGTCTGGGATAATTTAGTGGAAAAGTTCCTGTCATTTATTTGCAGTATGGAACCATGTTTTTCAGGAGAATAACCTAAATAAATGCAAGAACCTAATCACTGAGTTCTGTCTGTAGGAGGGGGCAGAGTTGGCAATAAAATCAGTCTTACACCTCTTTGCAAAAAAGATGATTCATACAAAAAAAGCAGCCTAAAGAATTTGGTTGCTTGGGTTTCTTTTTCTTTCTTTTTTTATGTGAACCTTCTGGAAAAATTAATACCGAAGGAATGAATGACGGAGGTTTTTTTTTTTTTTAAAAAAAAAAAAAAAAAAACCTAATGCTGATGATTTTAAGATTGCCTGATTGCCCATAATCTACTTTCCTCTTCTAACACCGTTAGAACGATCTACTAACCCAATACATGCGGCTATTTAAATTACTTAGAATTAAATATAATTAAAAATTCAGTCTTTAGTCCCACTAGCCACACTTGAAGGACTCAGTAGCTACAAGTGGTTACTGGCTACCCTATAGGACAGTGTAGATACAGAACATTTCCATCATAGATATTTCTTTTGGATAGTGCTATCCTAGACAACGTTTGCATTTCCATGAATTAAAAAAGGTATATTGACTTTATCAGGGTTGAAACTTAGTTCAATAGAGCATTAATGTATTGGGGATTCAAGGTCATAAACTTTGCGTGTTCCAATTGGAAAGGGGCTGGAGCAATGTTAGGGTATAAAAGGTGATATTTAGTATTGATATGCATGGTATACAAAGTGCAATGCATTGGGGAGGAGTGATGCTCACATATGATTTCTTTCATGAATCCTGGAGAATATTGTGTACTGCTATTCTTAGTTCCTTTGTAACCATGATTAGTAAAAAAAAAAAAAAAAAAGGGACCATAAGATTAGTTGATAAAAATTGCAAAATGTAGAAACATCTGGGTAGCTCAGCTGCTTGAGCAGCAGACAGACTCTTGATTTTGGCTCAGGTCATGATCTCCCAATCCTGGAATTGAGGCCCATATCGGGGTCCACGTTCCATGCAGAATCAGCTTCAGATACTTTCTCCAAGTCCTCTTCCTCCTTCTGCCCCTCCCTATTCACACGTGCCCGAGTATACTCTGTCTTTCTAAAATAAATAAAATCTTTGTTTAAAAAAAGTACAAAATGTATTCTATGTTTTTTAGGGGTTTTTCTCAATATATTTTTAAAGTTCTCATAATGGATATTCTGAATAACTAGTCAAAGAATTGTTATTTATCCGTGTAAGTGAAATACTGGGTAAGCTATAAAATTAAACCTAAATCAAGCCTAAATCAATTTTTTAGACTAGGTAATATTAACTAAGCTAAGCCTGAAGACTGCCTATCACACCATATTTAATGCAGAAAGGCACTTGGCTGATTGTATGTTAACAGAAGTTCATGGACAGAATAGAATAGAACAAAGCTAAAGGTCTCTGAAATAATCTCTTTATGGAATAGACAAAGTAATGGAACAGCAATTTGTATAAGTAAGTTTACACATAGCTTTAGCATAAAAGGATATTTCACTGCTATGTTTCTTTAGCAATACTAATAAGAAAAATGTGTTGATAGGAATGAAGCAACTTGTTTACCAAAAGTGTATTTATAACTGCTTATTTCACATTTGCAAATATCAGAGTGTGCTGTCTCCTTCCGATTTGAATGTTGGTATTCAGGTATACTAAAGGTCCATCCTTTAAAATAACCATCCCTATCTAAGGGTAAAAATTTAAGTTTGTCTTACAGTAACTAATTTTAGTCTTTTGGTATTTCACACACACTCCATTGTAGAGGTGAAATATATTTCTGTGAAATAATGAAAAAGTCCCCGGGCTTACATTCAGAATACATCAGAGATCTCTATGATTTGTCTGATTTCATGTTACTAACTATAAAATTAAGTTTAAATCAATAGGGGATCCCTGGGTGGCGCAGCAGTTTGGCGCCTGCCTTTGGCCCAGGGCGCGATCCTGGAGACCCGGGATCGAATCCCACGTCGGGCTCCCAGTGCATGGAGCCTGCTTCTCCCTCTGCCTATGTCTCTGCCTCTCTCTCTCTCTCATTCTGTGTGACTATCATAAATAAATAAAAATTAAAAAAATAAATAAATAAATAAATAAATCAATAAACATTTTCTAATCTAGAAGGTGTCATTTCTGCCCAAATAAATTGATAATGATTCAGCATTGCTTTCTACCCCAGTGGCTTGGGCATGCCACTGAAAATTTATACCATCATCTTGATCCATTTCTCATCCTAAAATACATCCAGTGTCTTGGCTTTTCAGCCAAAAGGTAGGCTCATGATAGGTTTGAGCATTTACTTTTATTTGGAAGTAATAAACTATAGAACTTCTTAGGATTCCTGAAGTCATTTTTTAAAGTTGTTATTAATTTCTTAGCTCTACAAATAAAGCACAGTAGATTTACAGTGTGTTTAGGCCAAAGTGATACATCTTCTCTTTTTTCCCTATTTGTACTTTATTTGGTTGCCTACACAAAACACAGGAAACCAAGAGTTTTATTGGACTAGACATTAGTATGATGTTTTCATTACTGTCACTGCATCTAAGCTGGAAACAATAGCTGCTATAACTATTCTCAGTTTTCAGTTTTATAATGGTATAAATTACATGTTTAAAAACAAGTGTGAGGTATTTATCTGTTTCTACAGAAGCACATTTTACTTTCAGCAGATTAGCCCCTCTGGCAGAAGGATTCTGGTGGTGGTACTCTACCTGCCAATTCTCCACCCACACGGTGCACCTGAACTCCGGCATCTTTGGGATTGACATGTTGTCTACTCTGCTTCAGAATAATTTTATATTTCAAGACAGAAGCAAAATGGGAGAGGTATGGTAATCCTTCACTGAAAGAACAGTTAGCAAAGTGTCAAATTGAGATTCAAATTGAAAACATTTTACTGGGATTCATATTCACTATTATTTTATCTTAGAAATGCTAACCCTATTTCTCAAGCAATGTGATAGCATGGGTCCTCTTTGCGCACCACTGTTGGAGGAAATAGCTGTCCAAAACACTCTTCGTTGTGAAAATATGGAGAAAGGAATCAAAGAATAGCAAAGGTATGTCAGTAGCTTCTCTATCCCATGGCACTGGCCTTGGTGAATTACTTATTAAATAGACAAACCCCTGTTTGTCTACAATTAAACAAGAAATTTCTCTGATTTTTTTTCCATTTCCAGTCTAGTTCAAGTAACAGAACTAAACTTTGAAGAGGTCCATTATAGTTCCACTTGGTATAAAATCCAAGTTTTTATAAACTACATTTTTTTAAAAACTTGGGTATTTGGAGGTGCTGGTTGGCTTATCAGTTAAGCATCTGACTCTTGATCTCAGCTCAGGTCTGAATCTCAGGGTCGTGAGTTCAAGCCCTGTGTTGGGCTTCATGCTGGGCATGGAGCCTACTTAAAGACAAACGAACAAAACTCTAGTATTTAACTTAGGGACGTGATTATCTGCATT